GACAGGAGAGATATGATCTCTCTTTTTAATTCTCATCAGAACTCTAGCTGCAGCATTTTGGACAAGCTGAAGACTTTTAACTACATTCTGTGGACTTCCTGAGAGTAATGAATTACAGTAATCCAGTCTTAATGTAATAAATGCATGAACTAGTTTTTCAGCATCACTCCTGGAAAGGATGTTTCTAATCTTAGCAATATTCCGAAGGTGGAAAAAGGAAATCCTACAAACCTGTTTAATGTGGGATTTGAATGACATGTCCTGGTCGAAGATAACACCAAGGTACCTTACTTTGTTCTTGGAGATTAATTTAATGCCATTCAGGTCAGGTGATTGACTAAGCAAATTCCTTTTCTGAATTTCAGGTCGAAAGATGAGAACTTCAATCTTGTCTTGATTTAAAAGCAGAAAGTTTTGAGTAATCCAATTTTTATATCTTCAAGACAAGCCTGTAATCTACCTAACCGATTAAGTTCATCAGGGTTAATGGTTCTGAAGCCAGAACCATTTGTCGAGGTGAGTCTGATTATATCTGGCTGGAACCTCTCAACCTCACACACCAACTCAGGCTCCTTCCCCACCAGAGAGGTGACATTCCACGTGCCAAGAGACAGCTTCTGTAGCCAAGGAGCAGACCACCAAGGTCCCTGGCTTTAGCTATAACCATCGACATAAATATACTGGACATCTCCTTTCCACAGGCTCCAATATCACGTTTTTGAGGCCAAATGGGAGGTGGCCACCACCGCCATTTTGACCGTGTCACAGGTTCCGTCAAGCCCAGACAATTCCAAAAAAGGGAAGAGAGGAGGAGCTAAGGGCGGGGCTGTAAGGCTGGGATCACCTGACATCCGGTCGAACTAGCTACAAGCTATCCTGAAGCTAACCCTGGCTAACCCAGAGCTAACGCGGAGGTGGGAGCTAAGCTAACGGAGGTAGCCACCGAGCTACAACCGGAGTTAACTGTGCACAGCACCAGAGCTTCTGAGTCAGAGATACCCAGAGCTTCTGAGTCAGAGATACGCCGGGCTGACCGCTGGGTAAAACCGGGTGGAAGACAGAGGTCTCCCGAGAGCTCCACAAGCCGGCAGCCGCACAGCAGACAAGCGCCGCTGCGATCTGAGATGCGCAGAGCTGCCGCTGGGGAGAACCGTATGGAAAGGTTTCCATCCCAGAGCTCCACAAGCCGTCAGCTCACCGCATCAGGCAGAAGCCGCGATCAGACAGAGATGAGCCGAGCTGCGGGGAGAAACAGCCGGCATTCCACGCATCAAACAGAAGCCGCGATCAGACAGAGATGCGCCGGGCTGCGGGAAGGGGAGAACCAGGTGGAAAACACCGGTCTCCCGAGAGGTCCACAAGCCGATAGTCGGAACCCAGCTCCACCAACGTGTTATATTTCAACCCATTTTCTAAAATGCAACATTGTGTTAAATGCACTGATTTTACCCTATTACATTTAAATTTCATGGTTAAACAGTACATGTTAAAATCTAAGCTCAGCTCGGCAGTGACCTAAAATACATAAATATAATTTTACTTACGGAAAAAAATGAAGTGGAGACTCCTTGGACGCTCTATTAGTGCAATTAATGCCACAGCAAGTCATTTTGTTCAACAATTCCACAAAAAAATATCCAAAAAAGAATACACAGACACAGAGACTCAAAATGCCGGAACAGTTTCCAGGCCAGACCGAGGCTCTACTGAGGCCTTTCCACGGAGCTAGCTCTGTGGTCACGTGGGTCTGAGGCGGTGGTCACGTGTGTCGGATGCTCATTAATTAAACAGAATTTTAGGCTTTTAATACACTTAAACAGAAGAGTGAGAAAAAAATTCACCCCCTCAGAGTTTTCATGAGTGTAAACTAGATAATTTAAACAAAAAACATATTCTGGTACCAGGCTGTAAACGTGTTTATTTCTGCTGTGAAATTGGTATTTTTAACATGGATTCAATGAGGATTTGCTCGCTTCTGACACCAGCCTCTAGCCAGCGGATGAGGGTGGGACTGCAATTTATTTCATTTCTGGGTTTGCCTCAAATTTAGAGCTGCATTGTGGGGGCTTGGCTATAACCCATCACACATTGTATCCAACCTCTTTGGCTCCTCCCACGGGTGGGTGATGAGCCCATGGGAAGGGAGACCCACGTATACTATTCAGGCTGAGCCGGGCACTGGACGTTCACCAACGTGCCCCACCTCCAGGCCTGGCTCCAAAGATGAGACCCGGTGACCTGCATGTGAAGAATGTTTCTCATCATAAGGGGTCTTTGGGCTGCATGGACCATGATCCAAATTAAGATTGTGGTCATTTTACTGCTGTAGACATTTCTGTAGTTCCTCGATTCAAGTTGATAGGACTTATGATCAAAGATTACAAGAGAGTCTGATAGGAAGTAAACATTAAAGGGTTATTTGAAGATTCTTGCAGATATGTGCCTCCATGTGTTGAGACTGGAGGGGAAGTTGCAGCTTTTCTTGTTTGACTTCAGGCAAACACATCTGCTCCAAAAGAAAACCTGATAAATCTAATTTCAGAACTTCAGAAGTATACAGCCTGACAATTAAGTAAACAAGCAGTGTGTATTGTTTATTTTTATTTTCACATTACCCCTCTATTCCATCTCCTGATAAAATAAAATAGGTCACAACAGCCTGTTTATAGGTTTTATTGTGTGTGCCCCGACAGAAGACAAGAGAACTTGGACTTCCAGTCTGTATACGGCTGTCTGCGTGCGTGCGTGCGTGTGTGTGTGTGTGTGTGTGTGTGTGTGTGTGTGTGTGTGTGTGTGTGTGTGTGTGTGTGTGTGTGTGTGTGGAGAGTGGGGCGGGGAAGCGGGGCCGCAGTGCTGAGCACGTGGACGGGAACATTCTGTACTGAAATTACGCACGTGTCCTCTCTCATTCGCTGTTCCTCTCTTTCTCTCCCCCTCTCTGTTAAATCATAAGCACGCGCCTAAAACTCGAAAACAACCTTATCTTTGCTTCGCTCGTGTCAACACGGCGATATGACCCAGAAGCGGCGCGCGCTGCTGAACTCTTGCACTTTCTGAGAGACGGCGGAGAGAGGGGAGCGTAGACTGCGGCAACAGCAGCGCCTCCTCTTCCTCTGAAATGTTTACAGCTCCGCTGGTGGAGGAGCAGGGGGTGACTGCGGGGTGTGGAGTCCCGAACAACTCCCCGGTTTCAACAGATTTCATTCCTGGAAATGTTGGGGTTCTGCCACTGAAAAGTGGAACGAGGGGTGGGGAGGCGTGAGTTCTAGGGATGATCCTGGGAACGAGCGAAAGGTACCTGCAGTGTTTCTATGGTGCATAAACATGGGACTTTGTGTAATTCCCTATTCCACGTTTACAGTTTTCTATCAACCCCATACATGACACAGAATTCCTCTAGGTGTGAATTAATGGGTTTGCAATGCAAACAAAACAATTATTTGGGAAGCGTGTGCACCCTAACCCTAACCCTGGATCAACACAAGTAACAAATGCACACAATACATACCAACTAACTAGTTTTTCCATGAATCATGAGCTATTAAAAAGCAGAAAAACACATGTGTAGGGTAATTATCTTATAAAAACAGCAGGATTGTAGTTCATGCCAAAGTTAAATGATCTCCAAAACAAATAAACAGGATTGGCCCTATAAACAACAATTAACCTGCCTATTTTTTTTCTTATTAAGTTTCACATTGGATACAAAGCTTGCCAAAAGCACATGTTGTTTTCATCCAGGACATGTTTTTTAAGTTAAAATATCATATTTTGTAACAAGAAAGGGGACAGATTACTCAATCCTTGCTCCCTAACGCTGAGTAGGATTTTCTAGGAACTCGGTCACGCAGGAACCACCCTCTGCACTGTCAGTACTCTCTGCTAATTCTGGAAGGTGGGAGGGCAAGGGGGTGTGAGGGTCTGGGGTGGTGGCTTATATGTGGACTGCCTGTGTTACATTTTGTCCAGAACACTGTATTCCACTTCTTTATTTTCTCTAACAGAAGCATAACGAGTTTTCATTTGGAGTGAAGAGTTCAAATGTAGCTTCAGGCAGAGTTGAGGGTTGTGCTAATTTAGGATCAGGTTGTGAAACTGGGACAAATTATAGAACACAGTGTTTGAGTTATTTGAATCAACAAGGAAATGTCTCTCATGTCACACATTATTGTATTTTGAATTTATTTTTACAAAAAATTTAAGAATAATTATATATTTTGTGGGTATGAAATGACAAAGTAGTCTGTAATCGGAACTTCTCCAGAATAACTGGATTAGTGCTACAGGACAATATTTATTCCCACGTGTTATTAGTTTGTCATCCAGCAGCAGCGACATGGGAGAACTAAATGTCAACCTAAAATAAGAATAAATAAACTAAAATTATTAATAAACATCAAAATTTGAACTGTAGTAAACACATCAACTGTAGGACATCTTTAAAATAATAGTACAGATATTCTGATGTGTATTTTGTGCAGACAGCTGACTGAACCACACAACAGTTCAGTGAAATAAAAAAATGTTCCAGACAGAAAAAGTTTGCAATTATAGGGCGATATCTGCCAGGTGCATAATAATGTTATTTAAATGATAATGTTGATTAAATCATGATTCCATCTAATCTGTTTTCCTGCGTATATTGTGTTTAGACAGGAAAATGGAATCCATAATAAAGGCATACATGCTTTAACTATTCTTTGAGTTTTTTCCCCATTTATTAAAGATGATCAAATTATAAATTACCCAAAAAATATGACCTGATATATAAAAAATGTATTAACATATCAATTACATTGCTAATCCTATTTCCCAGCCATAATTAGTCCATAAATGCAGCATAACCCTAGTCCCGCCCATCAATCGCCAACCATTGCCTCTGATTGGTTCAGTTTCTCATCACTCACTGCATTGACGACACTTTTCCAAAAGGCGAGTCACGTTACCCCTCAGCCAATCACAGTTCCGTTATATTGTGGCACCGTGGGATTCCGCGAAATTGTTTCTTGGATTTGAGAGAACGGCTGCTCCCTGTGAAATAGGACAAGTTGATGCACAAGTGGGAGTTGACTGAGAGGCGGAACACGCGCTCGGTACAAAAGTTCTTTGGTGTTTTATTTTGTTTCAGACGAAGGGGAAGCAGTCGGGTAATAGTTTATAGTTCCTTGAGGCGGTCTTTATTTATCCGCCCAGCATCCTCAAGAAGAAATCGCGCAGACTTTGCGGTACATTTCCACCGAGGACAGAACGTCTTGTTACTTGGAGCTCTGAAATCCGAGTTTTGGATTATTTTTATACACTTTTTTTTTATTAAAGCCTACATCTACTCCAATGATGTCGGGGCACTTTGGCGTGTCTGCAGACTGCGTCCCCAGACGTCCTTCGGTGAGGACAGAAGACGTATTCAAAGAGGACCAAGAAAACGGGACTCTACTGATGGTGGCGATGATTTTGCTGGACCTGAGGAAATGTGGTTCCGACGCTCTCGGCGCCGGCGAAGCGGAAAGGCAGGACAAGGAGGAGCGGGGCGGCTGCATGGAGTCCGAGGACAGCCGGGCTTCGCCGGTCCTCAAGCCGCAGCAGGCCCGGAGCAGCAAGTTGCCGGGAGGGAGACAAGGCTCGCCCGAGAAGCGGCACTGCTGCCCGTTCGCTGGCTGTGGGAAGATGTACGGAAAGTCGTCCCACCTGAAAGCTCACCTCAGGGTCCATACCGGTGAGTGGAGCCCCCAGCCGGGTGCTGCTGCTGGGGGTGTGGGGGGCACGCCTACATGCTCGGCTCTGTTGACAACAGTGGAACCGCGCTGCGTCATTATTATTTAATTTCAGTAGACGGTTATAATGATGTAATTAGAAAGTCACGCGCTAATAACACACATAAACTACTTGTGATTAGCTGTAGCTGATCGTTACAGGAAAAGGTGGTCCACCTGCGTGTGTGTCACGAGCTGGGGGTCACGAGAGCAGGTGCGAGATAAAGCCGGCGTAATGAGCCTCGCGGTAGTGGCGGTTTCTTGCGGGAACACAATGTTCCTCCGTCCATCCGTGATGCGTGGCAGACCGCTGGGCTGTTGAGTCATCGGATACTGCTCACGTTACTGTTTACTCGCTGCCTATTGTTTAAAAACAGTGTTTCAGCTGTTTTAACGTCATTTGTCAAGACATGGGCTCATAATTGATAGAGCCAGGTCACTGCGACACAGTTGTCTCCACATGTACTTGTCCGGAGATAACCCACCCTGCACCACTGCTTCCTCATACGTCATCATCTCCACGCGCCCCCTCCGTCGGGTTGTAAACAAAAGCGGTCAGGCGACACGTGGTGTAGCGGAGCACATGGGGGCGGAGTTGGGGTGTGGCACTCGCTTCTGTCTATTCTAGATGCTCTTGTCCCACGATTTTCAAATGTATTCGAAAGCTGTTCTCAGTAGTCCATTTCTATAAAATGCACTTGTAAACGAACATCTAAACTGTTATTCAAAGCATTGGGCTACAAGAAAACTTCCTTAAGGATCACTAAATAAACATGTTTTTATTTGAGAACTGGCCCGTGCAATTTAAGCAGGTTAAAATCAAAGGAAAAAAATAAAAATAAACAGGCAGAAGAATAATTTAGTGAAACAGATGAAACATGATTACCTGTAGTTATAAAAATGTTAATCTGTCTCCACAGGTGAGCGCCCCTTCAAGTGCACCTGGCCAGACTGCAACAAGAAGTTCTCCCGATCGGACGAGCTGACCCGCCACTATCGCACTCACACAGGCGAGAAGCGCTTCAACTGTCCCATGTGTGAAAAGTGCTTCATGAGGAGCGACCACCTGACGAAGCATGCCCGGCGACACGCAGGCTTCCATCCTAGCATGCTTCAGGGCTCCAGCGCGGCCAAGAGACACTGCAGCTCCATGTCCGTGTCCTCCTCCGATTCTGGGTATCAAAGCCCTTCTGGACTGTGAAACAACTCTAATTCTGTAAAAAATGTACATAAAGATGCAGAATAGAAGCATACACAGTCACACAGGACATGTGTGTATTTGTACATGAATGCCGTCCAGCTTGACCAGCCTGACCACGATTCAGGGATTTTTTTTTTCATGTAACATTACACAACAGCTGACAGGAACATTTTGAAACTGCAGCTCACTGACTTATTCCCTGAGGAAGCGGGTGTTTATGATGTGTTACTCGGGCTCTAATTCATCCTTTTCACTGAAAGAACCTCTTATCTAAGTAGTATTCCTGTACATAAACAGTATTCCTTTTTTAAGCAGCATCACATTTTAGCAGCAAGATTCCTTTCTACAGAATTATTTTCTACTGTCTTCAGAAGTTCTGCAAAAGTAGGGAATGTTATCTATTGTACATATAAGGTTGTAATTACAGTTTTGTACAGTTTTCAGACAGCATGAATGCACCGCAGAGCAGTATTACCATGTAAATATGGACAAACCGGGTGGTTTTAAGCAGCGTAACGTAGTGATGTCATTAGAGAGTAATAATAATAGTTATATTACAGAGAGATACAGAGCTTCAATATTTTATTTAACATTTTTGGTCATGGACTTCAGGTATAATCATATTATCTTGTAAATATATGAAAAAAATAAAACTGTTTCCTGTGTTGAAACTGAAATGTTTTCATACGATGATGAACCTGCAAATACATGCACACAAATATTAGCAGCGAGACGATCACACACAAGCTGATCTCACGGGAATTCACACTAATGTTGTTTTGACTTGAATTAGACAACACAACAGGGTAAAGCGGTTTTGTTTTGATCAATGTTAAATCCGTGATCTGTTGTCAGTGGGTGCTTTCTGATGGGATTGTAGCAGAGGGGGATTATTTATTCTCTGGTGAAACAACCACTCGAATGAACGTTTGCCACATGATCCTTTGTGTTGCTTCTCACTATAACGACTGTCTGGAACACCAACGGTGCCGGTTGCTTTAAGCTGAAATTCAAGCTCATTTGTCTGTCTGCTGGTTTTATTCATTTTTTTATTTTTTATTTGTTTTGTTTTCAAAGGGGACTCATCTTTTTTGTGATCCTGCAGTGATTACCACGACCCTATGTGGTGGCATGGAAGCACAACATTGCTCACAGGGAAACATAGCATTTTTAGCACTTTGAGGACTGTTAGCTAGTTTGTAAATGAGCGTGTTTCTGTGTGTTTTCCTTATTACCAATGGGTTGAGAGGTCTGTTTTGTCCACTAACGGAGCCAGCTGTATCGTTTATGTCATTACATATATTTTTTTACTTCAAATGTGTGAAGTAGTTGAAGGACATGGACTGCTTACCTTTGTCAAGTGAAAACCTTTTGTTCAGGGAGGGGGTGTTAAAATAACTGTGATTATTTGCTGGTGCCTTTCATGTTGAAGCACTTCTCCTTCTGATGCTTCTGTAATCAGGGACTGATGATGCAAACTCCATGATATTGCGACACATGTGGCTGTGTAATGATTACTCCTAAAGGTTTTGGCATTAAAATTACTGTTTTTCATACTAAACAAGCATCCGCTCCTCTTGTTTCACACCATTTCTGTCAGCGTCAGCCAGGACAACTCCAACAATGTTTGCTTTGTGTTTATTCATCACCTTCATACACTGCACATGACAATAACATTGTTGAATACTGTAATGGAAGTGTTTACTATATGTGGAAATCGTTAAAAATCTAAGAAAAAAAAACACTTGATATTTTTTTACATTTTGAAAAAAAAGCAAACTTTTATTCACAGCAAACACGTTTAAAATAAAATGAAATAAAACAGCAATACACAATATTTTGTTTTGAAACTTATGTCTTTAAGGCATACTCAAAATGCATTAACGGAGTGATTTATAGAGGAGAGAGGTCGTAAAAGAAGGACAGCGGTGCTCAGAGTCCATCATCTTCAATGTTGGGATTACAAAAATGGTTTCTGTTATAGTAGTCGAAAGAGATTTAGATGTTGTCTCACTTCCTGTTTTGGAGCTGTAGGTTCGTATGCATGCACGTGTGAGAAGAGAAGGAATCTTTTCTGAACTTGTGTGTGCAATTAATGATCTGCAGTGTCCAGTGATTGTTGTTCTTGGAGATAAAGATGAGAACAAGCTGTGCTGTAAAATCTATCTGAAGCTCCACCCCCATCCCTCCAGTTCCTTTGGCCTTGATGATGTGCGGATCATATGAGCATCATGACCAGGCTCTTTTCTTTTTCTGACCCAAGTCATTTTGTTTGAGCCACAGTCACTGCTGTGCAGGATAAAACACAAAGACATGGGCTCACCAAATTAAAAACAAAATGTGCAAATTCAAACGATGCAAGCCAAGCTTGTGTCGCAGCAGCAGAAGTGGCTGCAAAACTAAAAAGTGCAAAAGCTACGTGCTTTTTGTTTTTCTTCTCAACGTCTGGTGCTCTGCATGTAATTTTGCTCCACAGCCATTCAAACATCAAGAAATGTCCACAATCCTTGGGGCATAGGATGTGATAGTGGTGTTGTGACTGAGCTGTACTACATAACAACCCTGTACAGTACAATAAATGAAGATGTTGTTTTAGAAGAAAAAAAAAATACATACATCTCAACAACACACCCCACCTCATAATGACATAGGAAACAAAACTAGAAAAAAAGGCAAAGCGAGTTCAGGCAGGTAAGTCAGCTGTTATAATGTCTGTTACTCTTCTGGGATATTTAAATCAGCATCAACTGACCTTTTGTGTACTGTGACCTGGTATCAGTGCAGACGTCTATGTCCTACCATAGGAGGAATCCACCACTTTAATAACATTTCTATACATACTTATTGTTCTGATCTACACTTTTGAACCAAATATTCTATTTAATTGGATTATTTGTAGCTATCATCAAAGCACTTTAACTGTCACGATTTAATCCTACCAACGCCTCACCACTGCCCCTTTGGTGGCGAGGTAAACTCACAGCGGATGAAGGCGGGAGTTATGTAATGTTGAAAAGGGGCAGGGGTACTGGAGGGTTACTGGATTTGACAGGTTGTGGAGGAGGTTGCCTGGCAGCACATGCAGGTAGGGTTGACTGATTTGGGTGGTATCAGATCCAAGTCCTCATCGTCAGGGATTTCATCTAGGCGGTAACCGTCTTTCAGCAGCTGAATGTTCAGATCCTGATTGATTTGCTGAAAAAAAAAAGGAAAAGAGGTAAAGGGCCAGTATTTGTATAGCACCTTTTTAGGGTTCTACAACTTCCCTTTACAAAACAATAATTCACCCACCCATTCACACACTGGGGATGATGGGCTAAAATATAGCCTCAGCTGCCCTGGGGCGCACTGATGGAAGCGAGACTGATGAACACAGGTGCCACCGGTCCCTCCGACCACCACCAACAGACAAGGTGGGTTAACCCTCTCAGGCTCAAAATAAGTTTTGATAAAAGGACGAAAAACGAAGTCCTTCAGGGGTACTTCTGAGTTAAAAAATGCTCATGAAATACATATGTGGGTAGGTATGTTTTAACGTTGCAAATCTGCAACGCCTGCCTCCAGAGGGTTAAGTGTCTTGCCCAAGGACATAACAGCAGCATTCTCTGGCAGGAGCCGGGATCGAACCTACAACCTTCCGATTACTGGACAACCTCCTAAGCTACTGCTGGTAATTGAAGATGGATTATTTTCCACACCTTTCATTCGTAAACCTGCATGCCACATGGTAGAATGAAGTGGCTTGGTCAAAAAGTCGCTTCATACTTTTCACATTATTCTAAAAAAATAAAAATAATTAAATAAATATCTGTGCAACAACTTTCCTCATTTACTAATTCTAAGTTCAGTGGTGCTCCAAGAAATTTTCATGAAGGGGTCAGATGGGGCCAGGGAAAATCTTTATTACAACAAATTTTTACCATACCAGCTTCACTGGCTGCCAGTCAACGTCAGGGTTCATTTCAAGATCCTGGTTCTGGTCTATAGGGCCTTACATGGACAAGCACCATCTTACATTGGTGATCTTCTCAATCCCTACACCCCCAGCAGGTCCCTGAGGTCCAGTGATCAAAGCCTACTGGTTGTGCAACGCACCAGGCTAAAGACCAAAGGTGACAGATCATTTGCTGCTGTGGCCCCCAGACTCTGGAACTCTCTCCCCCTGAGCCTGAGATCAGTGGACTCAGTGGTCTCCTTTATAAAGCAGCTGAAGACTCACTTGTTCAAGCTGGCTTTTGTATGACCTTCATCACCACTCTCTCTTTATTCTGCTCTCCCCACCAATTCCACCTTCCTCAGGATCCACTGATTTCCCTCTTTCGTGTTCACTTTCTCTCTTTCTTAATATTTTTTTAATCACAATTGCCTATTTTTGCTCATTTTAAAAATTTAACCATTTTCTAAATGCTTTTTTATATTTTTAAATTTTTTGTTTTTGTGAAGTGCCTCGTGATTTTTATCTTGAGAGGCGCTATAGAAATGATACTTTCTTCTTCTTCTTCATAAAAATTTGTAGATATATTTAGGATAAGAAATATAGCAAATTAATTGTTTTGTAATCTAAAACATTATTTTAAACACATTTAGACTCAATCCATTTAAACCAAATCTCATTCTGGACCCATTAGTCATATTAACAAAACGTGGACAAGCATGGCTGCTATAAAAGTAGAGAAGAGCTGCTACAGGAGTCAGTATGAATAACACATGTGTTGTCTGAGGTGTACAGTAGGTGTTTTGAAACACAACTGCTAAAAATTATGCTAGATGCTGAGAGTGTAGTGGGATTCACAACTGAGATAAAAGTACATTTTTATGCCACCAATGTGTTTTGCCTTCATTCTGTCTATGAGACGAGTAAACCAGCATCACATGCATGTGACAAACAAAAACAAAACAAGCTAGCAAATAATGTAAATCATCGTTTTAATGATTGTTTCTTGTTATTGGGATGGTATGGAGTTGATATTGAAACAAAACTATAAAGTTGCTTGATTGTTCGGTCCTAAAAGTAACAATATGATAATAGCCTTATTAGAATGAATCTAATGAGGAGATCCTTTGAATGTCTTTGAGAAAAGTTACTCTGAACATCTCTTACAATTTAATTTATCATAACAGGGAATAATAAATCATGCAACTGTTTGACAGCCTCATTTATCCTTTGGATCTGCACTGACATCAAGATTGCATGTGAATGAAATCAGAAGCGAGTAAAAGCGGCATTCACAGAAGAGTGAGATGCAACTCTCACAGATGGCTGCAAGCATCATTACTTTGTCATCATCATGACAACTACTTCCTGGTGGGATTCTTCTCCTAAAATAACTTTTTTGTTGTTGTTGCATGAGGCCTAGCTGCCTCTTGAATACAAATCTGGACATTTAGGTTATTTTTTTTGATAAACATCCAGGATTAAATATCTGTTGACCTGTAAATACTGAACTATAAATACAATAGCTTTAATTTGATAATCTACAGCGCATACGACATGTTCTGACTTTTTAAAAAATAGAACGAAGAAAAATGTAAACAACAGGCAAACCGGGTTAGAGCATTTTTGTGTCTCATTAGGTACGTGAAGGCATTTGGATGTTACTGTCAAAAACATACAAAATATTCTCCAATCTGAAGTTCCCGCTGACATGAAGGGGTATAATAAATATAAATCTGTCTGTGACTGAAGGTTCTGTCTTGTTTTATGTCTCAAACAGGTTTGAGAGCAGGTGAAGCTTCAGCTCAATTGTGATGTTGCACACCCACAGAATTAGCATGGATACACAGGACAGGTGCAAAAAATAGCTTCAAGACTGTCTCAAAAAGGCTTCATTCTGGGCGTCATGACAGCCACTAAGAAAAGACAGTATGGAGGAAATTAAATGGTAAATATGAGGAAAGGAAGCAAAGAGCAGCAAAAAAATCTCACCTCGGCAGAAGAGTATCCTGACGATGAGTATCTTGACATGTCAAAATCATCATCGCTGAAACATAAAGACACATAGTTAAATAAAAAAACACAATACCATGTAAATAATGCATTTCAGATGTATTATAGTGTGTGGTTACCTGTCTGTATCTAATGCCACCAAGGGCTTTTCGTCTGGGCTCTGGTCTAAAGAGGAATAGCCTTTATTTGGCACTACCAACCTGCATGGAGTTAAAAGAGAGGATCAAAGAAAGAGAAAATCAGAGGAAAAGAGGAAGATGTGTGGAAAGGAATATAGATTCACACACAGGAAGAGGTGAGGGAGTGGAGAACAGGAAGAAATGAGAAGAAGAAATAAAAGTGGGCCTGGAGGCACAACCACAGATGAACCACAGGAACAACAGAAGCATGAAAAAGGTCTGATGTCTGGCTGGAACATTTTACAAACCCCGAATCAATAAAACTATTTCTGCAGATTTAATGTCTGACAGATATTGGAAAACATCAATAAAAACATTTTGGGACACTGAAGAAAAATGTATGATTTTTGCTGCTTTTGTGTGAAATGTTTTATGTTGGATTTGTTTAGATTATGTCGCATTTAATGCAAACCAATGTAAGAAAAACAGTTTTACAGAATTTACACTTCATTTATAGTCACACTTCTTACCGTGTTCTGGCCATGACATTGTTCTTCTTGGGTTGCTGGTTGACTGGACTACCTACAGTGTTCCCATTCTTTAATGAGCCCTTCCGAGCCAGCTCTCTTTGTTTCTCTGCACCAGAAACACAAACACGAGAGCACATATACGCCTTTTACCAACAGCACACAAAAAGTGACAGAATAGAGAAAGATCTCTGTCACAGGATGCATTTAACAAATTGTTAGGGCTCTTTTAAAACCTACTTTTGTTAGTTTAATTTGCAAACATGAGGAGAAATAAGCATTGAGAAAAACGCAGAAAAGTTCTTAAATTTTCAGGAATTGAAAAACTTGTGATTTTGGTTAAAATTGAAAGAATAACACCGACAGATTATAGGTTCAGCAAAACAAAGTACATAAAGAGGCAGATCTGATTTTTATCCTCAAAAGTTTTTGATGCATCTGCTGAGCAGGAGATTATCAGGATGCTGTAGAAATATGAAGGACAGGAGATTTTTGCTTCCAAATAAGAATCTAACAGCAGGAATTCGTAGGTCGGCTTAACATTGGACTCTGTCCAGGATCCTGAATTTTGTGTTTCACTTTTGTTTGACCATTTGTTGAAATACTAAAGACAAAATTCACTCATCTTTAACACAATTGCAGGGATCTCTAGTAAAAAAGGTTGCCTTGTGAGGCGATCTATTTGGGGTAAAGCTCTGGCATTCCTGTTTCAGGAACTAGAAGTGAGTCAGTGCAGAGGGGAGCAGAAGACGGCAGGATTTGGTGTCATCTTGCCTCTGATTGGCTAACAGCAACATGTCTCTACCACCAACTCAGTTTGTTTTGCAACACTGATGTTTTATCTCCACAAATAACACAAGCCTGAGGAGCTGTGCCATGTTGTTGAGCTGCTAATGCTAATGGTTAGCTTCTACTAGCTGAGACCTGCCCTACTTTCTCCTGGATGCTAAACCAACAGCATTCTTCCCCTTTGTGAGCCAAGACGGGCGAGTCATTGAATGCAAATTTTCAGAGTTACATAGATTTGTGTGGCTCTTCTAATCCAAGCATTTCTTCATCTGTTTTGAATCAGCAGCTAATACAGGAAACAAGGATAAAAGATCATTAGCCTGCATGTGAAACTCAGAGTGGTCGAACATATTTCAGAAATTACAAGTAAAAAGAGTTTCTCAGTGAACTTGATCTTTAAAGCTTTGATCTTTAATTTTATTTGAAAGGACTGAATCTATTTCAGATCTGATCCAGCCCCAAGTTTCTGCTCACAGTCTAAGATCCTCCGGTCAGAACCTGCTGATGGTTCCCTGAATGCTATAAGATTCGAGGAGACAGATGCCTTGCAGCGGAAGCTCCTCTTCTCTGGAATTAACTTCACCTGTCTCTCCCTGGACTCGTCGATTCTTTTAAAAAGCAGCTTAAGACCATTTTTTTAAACAAACTTTTCAGATTGCGCTACTGGACTCTGCTTAAGAAAACTGGTATGTAACAGTTAGAAATGAAAATATGGCTAACATTAATTTGGAATGTCAAAGCTTGTGTTTTTTACTGATTTAATACACATGTTTTTTCAGTTCAATTAATTATGACCATTCTAACTTATCTGTGCTGTAATCGACAGTATGTTTTGTTTATTTGCTGTACAGCATGATGTGTTAAGGAGTTGTTTATTAATAAAGTTTGACAGAATGATACTGATTTCCATACTATAAAATGTAACCTACCCATTTTCATCTGCAGAGGTGAAGGTTTGTAGTTGATGGTAACAGGTTCCCCCTCTCTGGTGTCAGAGTCTGCCTCTGAAGCCGTGGATGAAGCAGGATCCTGCAGGCAAAAAACACACCATGGACACAGCTCAGGCCTTTAACAATCCTTATCCTTTGTTTTTTGTTTGTTTGTTTGTTTGTTGTACTTATTCCACAGGTGATGGATGTAAATTTAAAGTTCAAAGTTTTGCTTTTATTTTAGAAGATACCCATTTGGGGAAAATATAAGGAAATTGGGTTTTCAGTGGGTCGGACAGCTCGGGTTCTGAGCAGAGGCCGCCCTGCAGGCTGCAGTAACCCCGAGCTCCACTAAAGGCCACAGGGCGCACCACCACAATCACTACAGCGATTTCAACAAAAACCCCAAGGTCTGTTGGGATGGAGCGCACAGGTGCATGCTCCAAAGCAGATCTTGTTAAAGTGACGTAGGTGGCGTCGAAGCTGGAGCACCCTGCTGCCTGGATGCTGAGGATAGAGCAGCAGAGTCGGGATGTGGGGACGCTTGTTTACGCCAGACATGATGACGGATGCTGCGCTTCGCAGCTGATCGGACCGTGCTCACTCTCCACAGAGGAACAGCCATCACTCTTTCTGGACACACCGGCTTGAATGTGATGTTTAAATAAACCATTTTATATTTTTACTCAGAAAAAGACTTTCAGCTCAGATGGAACATCACCACTTCCCAGGTGATGGATTGTTCTGGAACTAAAATCTGAATTAAGAAAAGCCTGGTCCAGTTAATGTTTAACAATAAAGAGAAAAATACAAATCTAATTAATTATTCTCAAAGACTCACCAGCGGCTGCATCTCAGACTGCATCTCTGCCTCCTGCACCGCGCTCGGTACCTGAAATCTGTCGATTTCTTCCATCATTTTGGCAGCTCGTGTTTCCCCCTCCTCCTCAATAAACAAAAAACAGTCCTAACAGATCGCTTCGCTGCGGAATCACCAAGACTTTCAGCAGTCTCAGACTCGGAACAATCCCTGCGCTTCTCCGGTGGTGCGCTTCATCCCAGCAGTCTCGGTGTCGACGGTGGTGTGACCAGAGTGGTGACGGAGACTCGACCACCCACTTCCGGGAGAGGAATCCCAAAGCTGAGGTCCGGGGGCCTTTAAAGGCCCGCATGAAGAGAACCAATGGTCTCTATCAAACAGAGACGATGCTACTTGTCATTAAATGCCTCATACATGATGCAAATTATTTTGCAGGTTTATGAAACAATTGTATTAGGCCTATTCAATGTTATTTGTAAACATAAATGACAAATGACTCACACTTGTATAGCTCCTCTCAGAGTAAGGACTCCAAAGTGCTTTACACTACAGTGTACCATTCATCCATTCACACACACATTCACACACTGATGGTGATGAGCTACAATAGAGCCACAGCTGCCCTGGGGCGCACTGACAGAGGCGAGGCTGCCGAGCACTGGCGCCACTGGAAACTATTACAGTTATCCAAATTCCTATTTTAGTTTTTAAATAAATAAATAAATAAATAAATAAATAAATAAATAAATAAATAAATGTGACAAAACAAACACAGGTCATATATTTTGAATTCTATTCGAATCTATCTTTGGTACTTGTTTCATTTCCTTGGTGTTTTATTTTTATGATTAAATGTTTTATTGACCACAACCATTAAAACTATGTGTTTATTATTATCAATTCAATTTTTTTAAATGTTTTATTTGTGTAATCTTTATTCATCCTTTTAATAAGGATTAAAATTTGCCCGATGTGGGACTGTAAAGATTTTTCTATTCTATTCTATTCAACCATTATTTTTGCATCTTACTTGGTGGAGATGGAAAATCTTTTACTGAAATAGATTTGAAAATCTTGTATTTAACACTCCAACTTTCTTAGCTAAGAAATGTGGAAACAGAGAACTCCATCCTTAGAGTCTGACTGTCGAGACTAGGGATTTTTCCTCCCTTTTCTGGAAACATGTGGTTACTGTTCATAAACTAAAGCTGTAGATTCTTTTAAAAAACATGCCAAAATTACTACTACTTTTAAATTTGCTAACAGCACTAAAACTCAATAAAACCATATCAATTGTCTGTATTCAACAAGATTAAATCAGTGAGCCAAAGCAGGAACCATCAGCAGCAGGCTACAGCGCCACAGCAGAGCATACGCCCTCTGGCGGTGAAACAGTGAAACTAAATCCACGGTAGACTGAGATTTTATTCCTAAAACAATCAATTAAGTTTCTAATAGGTCATGTAAGATAAATGCATTTAGGTACAGATAGTTCACCAGCAGGAGTTTGTAGTTTCCAGTCAAATACGAGAGATATAAAAGTATTAGTTATAAGTTTAACACCAGTGAAAACCCTTCTACGTCTAATAAACAGACATTTCTAGAGATAGAAACAATTTTTAAAAGGTTCACATTTTTGTTTTAAACAGAGAAAGTATTGCTGCATTCAGATTTCACAATAAATGTTTTAAAAATGCCAAGAAATGAAATATAAACCAAATAAAGCAAAAGTAGCAATAACAGTACAAGTCATGAGGTGGATGATCAGACAAATTTTGTTATTACCACAAAACAAATTTCCTTTTCATATTGTTTTTATTTATTTATTTAAATTAGTTATTTTAATCTGCTCTATAATTAAAGTATACAAACAGACACAACCGATATTCGAAACAAATCTCTGCTGTGCGGTAACAATAAATTACAGTAATTTAAGTTTTTACAGTCTGAGCATGAGATTTATGTGTTTGAAACTTGGATTAAATGTAGAGTGAACGCAGAATGATAAGTGAGCATTGTCTGTCCTTGGATGCAGTTAAATGCATTAAAAACATTTAAAGAGCTTTAAAACGCAGACAAAAGCCCAGCATCAGTGATCTGACTGAGGGCCTCACATAGCCCGGAGAGTCGGGCAAAACATATTTAATCTGCCACCTTTTGTGCAAGTTCTCCCACTTAAAAAGATGAGGGCTGTAATTTTCATCATAGGTATATCTAAACTGAGAGACAAAATGAGAAAAAAAATCTATTTAAAACATCAGTTTTTGTGTTTAGTTTAAGTTCAGAGCCTCTGCTGTTTTTGATTTGTTTAGATGCTGTGAACTATATACTATAAATACTAAGAATAACTGTTTGATAGAAAATACAATTCAAGCTTTAAATTAAACCGTAAAGATTAGTATGCAGCAGATGATCAGCTGTTGGATGAGTTTTTAATGTTTGTCTACTGCAGCTGCAGAAAAATGAGTAACATCTTCTCTACCTCCCATTGTCAGACCTGCAGATCTTCACCCTGCAAGACAAGATGGAGCAAAAACGCTGTTACAACAATTAGCCTGTCCCCTACGTCAGCACCAGGTGCAAAATGTCCACGAGTTTCATGAAGAAGCTGCGTGAAGGATCTGTGGGTGACTTCAGGTGCTTCTCTTTTGGACAAACTAATTCTACCATCATGCTTTGCTCAAAGTCTGAAGTCTAAAATGAGTATTTCAGCATTTCTTCTGTCTGGAACCCCAGTGTTCTTCAGAAAACATTTACGCCTCAACCCCCCCCTCCCACGCTGTTTGTCAGAGTGTAATCTTATCTCAGTCTGACGTACATCACACCTGCTTAGCATCAACGCGAGCTCACTTTCAATTATAAAGAAGATATTCATGATTTTAGAAGAAAGAATGAATGAACAAGCTGTGGCCATGAACTCAGTGACCATGTTTAACTGTTTGTGGAAACGCTTACAAATAAATATCACCCCCGACATCAAACTCTGGAGGATTCTCGTCTTTATTTATGTAAACAGAATGTGTCCTATTGTCTTAACCCTCCCACTGTCCTAATGGATGTGACCCCGCGAGGAAAGTTGACCATTGAGCAGAATTGATGGTTTATCCCTTGAGGTCCACGTGGCAGGAGTGAGCACCACCTCACCCCTGCCACGTGGACCTCAAGGGATAACCCATCAACCCTGGAAATGGTCAACTTTCCTCGCGGGGTCACCCATAAAGACTGTGGGAGGGTTGAATCATAGTAACAGAGTCCAAATATGTCTTTGTTTCAGCTCAGCTGTCAGGTTTGATGTAGGTTTTTAAATCAAGTTTAAAGTGATGACGTGTTTCCCTGGCGATAGGGCGCAGTACACACCTAAATCATTGCAAGCTAGCAGTATTTTTGTATTAGAGTAAAACCTTACCAACGGATGGCCATTAGGGTCAAAAATCACTGGGAGTGCAACCGCCAGCATAACAAGCACATCAGACTCCCTTTCATCACTGGCAATGAGTGAAGAGGTAAATGAGTAAAACAATGTATATGAATGGTGAAAGTTTTGTAACTACTTGTTACAAATCAGTAAATGCATTTTGTCCTTACAAGCTCCTGTAGAAGGAAACATGGCGTCTAATATGTTGTCGCTCAGAGACAAAGGCCCAATCCCAATACTCACACTTCCATCCTTGCACCCTTCAATTGCTCCTTCCGGGCCAGGGGTGCGAGTGTGTAGGGTGTCTCCATTCTCAAATGCGGAAGTTGATCACTCTCCTTTTGCACCCTTAATCCACACTTCACCCAAGTCCACATCGATGCAGACTTGGTTGAAGTGTATTACCCACAATACATTGCTGCAGGAGAAAAGGCTCAAGTTCCTTTTATGAATATATGTATTTTCTAATGAAATTAGTTTGTTTTAGGAGTTTATCCTCTGAATTATTTAGACAAAACATCAATAACTTTACAGGACACAGTGGAGGGACTATGTCTCTCACCTGGCCAGGGAACGCCTTGGGATTCTCCCGGAGGAGCTGGTCCAAGTGGCTGGGGAGAGGGAAGTCGGAACCTCTCGCCTTGGGCTACTGCTCCCGCAACCCGACTCTGGATAAGCGGATGAAAATGGATGGACGGATGGATGGATCAATAAATTTAAATTTATTTCAAATAACTGGTTGTTTGTTTGAAAGTTTTTAATAAAGGTTTTTGAAAAATGTATCATAGCGACCAGCATCCCCGCATACGCTGCGATCGATTATGCAAGGCTCCCTGTCTCCATTAGACAAGTATTTGCACACTTGTGTACCACACACTCGAAGCCTTACTGTGCACTTTCTCCAAGTGGATTTTGCTGAAGACCGCAGGGCGCAGGGAGAGTATTGGGATTGGGCCATAGACCCACTCCCATGTATTTTAGACCTGACTTTTATGGTTATGTTACAAAGCTGCCAATATTTTTCAGCTACTGGGCATCATTTAATTAATTTTCAACAACAGTTTGATGGATATTTCCAGAGATTAACAGTAAAAACTACATATTGTCTCTTAAAAAAGACTGAAAATTCTGATTCAATCACCTCACCATTTAACTCTTTAAACCCTAATAGCTGATTTGTTATCATTCTTCTTCTTCTTCTTCTTCTTCTTCTTCTATATTATTTGTTAAAAAACGTTAATAGAATACATATTTTAATAATTGTTGACATATTTTGAACATAGTTTGAATTCAGGAGTATCTCAGGATTGTTAACTCTATGACGTTCACTTACGCAGAACACAAAAAATGAGCTGATGAGGAAAAAGAAACTTAACGTACTTTATTCCCTTAGTTAAACTTTTCATTTCACACTGATCCTTCTTATCGAATGCTGCTTTAACCCCAAACCACCAGCAGAGGGCAGCAGTAAGTCAAGCTGCAGGACAGAGGAGGTTCTTGGCTCAGTCAGATGCTTCTGCATTCAATATCTGCAGTTTTGACCTGAGCCAGCAGATGGCAGTCTAACACTGTATTATTAGATAATGGTAGCTGTCTGACAGGGTCGAGCAGGTCATTACACTCCAGTCAGATCCAAACTCACACTCAGTCTGGTGAAGTGGACAGGACGAGATGGTGTCACTTTTCTTTTCTTTTCTTTTCTTTTCTTTTCTTCAAGTTTTCCCAACTTTGACTAAAGTGGAGTGTAGCTCATTTATGCAGCATCATTTAAAAACTCTCATTCTCCTTTTTGTATGTAGCTCAGTCCCACCGATCCTGTCCTGATGTTGCCTTTTCCTCCCATGTTTTGCATCCTGATGCGTTTGCTATCAACCACATTTTTTCAGCTTGTTACGTACAATAATTAAACCTCTGCTGAC